GTGATGGTTTCTCCAGTCTTCCGCCATTTGGCAATTAATTGACAAACACTAGCTTATTAGTTTGATCGCAAGTGTGCCTCGACAGCTGAGAAATTAATTGATTAATCAATCCGCTCGGCGTTTCCATGGAAGTTGTAGCCTGGAAGGGAATTGAGTATGATTTTTTCAAGATTTCTATTACAATACTAGCAAGCATTTCTGATAGACGCAATGTGTAATTTCCTGAGATTTTTCAAAAATAAGGCTGAAATTTTGAAAGGAAATAACAAGAAACATTTCTTTCTATTTTCGATCAAATGCCAATGAAACCCTTCTATTTATCTTTTGTTTCTTCCATATAAAAATCCGTATATTGTAAAATTCTTTTTTTCATTCAAATTGATCACTTTAAATGTCATCATATTGATTTGGGTATTCAAGTAGGTTGTATTATTTTTGGAAATAATGTATGAATAACACTTCATTTCATTGCAGAGAAATTTGATTTCTGCCTCACCACATTCAACTGCAGCAAATTGTTTCAAAAGAACTAATATCCGAGCCGTCCTTCTAGAATAAAACTCATTCTTTGATAAAGTATATCCTAATCATTTCTCTGAATAGACGCTTTGGCTTTCATGTCATTCAAAAAGCCGCTTTAATTTGCTTATCCATACTAAACCCCACCAAGATCAACAATAAACAAGTTCATTCCACTCACAAGTGAGGATTCGTTATGACAGTAAAATTTTCATTCAAGGGGATACTCACAAAAACTCCCTGTCACTACTAGCAAATATTTTCCCAGAGGAGCTAGCTGTATGCCATCTGATTATAAAATGGAAAACTCACTTTCACAAATATAATTGATTTTTTTCACTTCCTCACTGAAAGTGGAAAATAGTGTTTTTTAGGAAACAAGTAGTATTGGCATCAAAAGAAATGAAAAGGCAGACAAAGCTATGAAGTAGGTTGCCAAGAAATGTCAACCAAACTAGTGGTGGAATACCGATTGCAATCTGGCAAACAAGAAAGCGTCATTTAGAAGATGAAAATACTCTACTATGCAGGGTATCTTTTAATAACATGTTAATATTTAAGGAGGCTGTTTGGAAAACAATCATACGTCCTAAAGGTCTAAACATCTCCAGGAAATTAAAGTTTTTTAACTTTTTTGTGACCTATTTGCATCAAGAGATATTTTCTGCTCTATCCAATAAATTATTTATTCGTAGCTGTGGTGTTGCACTGAATTATTTTAAAGATGAATGTGTTGCCTTTTCTGCTTTTGCCATTCCGTGAATGAGATATGTCAGAAACTTTCAACCGTTTAGACTTGTCAGTTAGTGGAGTCTAGTTGGATTTAGCAAATAATCTGTCAATAATCCTTTCCAACAAACGTATGAGCTACCGGAAAGAATTTTTGATGAAATCTAGGAGGCTAAATGGCATCAACGCATGGCATTCGATGCTACAATACATGAAAGAGTAAGAAACTTTTCTGTGAAAGTGCTGTTTATCGACTTACTACAAGTATCACTGAAATGAACAAACAGATATTCAAGTAATACTTCATTGTGAGATTTTCACTTAACAGTTCACAAAACCGCGACACGTGTTTCGCTATGCAATAGCTACCTCAGGCGTGTCACGGTATTATGAACTCTTCAAAGAAAATCTCACAATAGAGTATCAATTGAATACGTTAGGAATGTTCATCACCAAGAGGTATTTGTTGATAACTCTTTGGGATCACGTCGTGCTATTTCCGTTTCTAACAAAGTCTATCGTTTACCAAATCTAAACGTGGATTACATAAAAGCATTTTTAGTACAAACGTTTGGCTGATAATAATTTTGACAGCAAAATAACAACTTTATTTAACATCTAATAACCGAAATCTTTCAGAAATGTTTGTGTCGTGTATCAACTTCAAATTTTAAAGCCACTTCAAAACTCAATGCATTTTAAAGTGCGTACACAGAACGTTATTGATTCAAATGAATCATTATTCTGTTAGACAAATGTGGATACGGATATGGCGGAATAAACATATTGAGGGAAAACAGATCAACATATTTATTGATATCAAAATGTAACAAATGTAGTTCTATTCAATTATTTTGGTTTATTTGATACAAGAATCACATATTTATTTGAATTCAATGAGTTATCCAATAGACGGAACCTGAACCTTCATTCTAGAATATTTTGTAATCAAATTCATAATGTATGGTTATTTGATTTATTGAACTGAAGATATATTAGAATTGAGTGAAATCGCCACCCATTCATCAAAAAAATAATTTGAACTGAGAGAGAAATAGTATATTCGATCAAAGTATATAAGTAATTATTCGACTTCAGATAAATATTAGTTCATGGAAAAATATCAAGAAAGTAGATAATTTCCTCATTAAAACATTCAAATTTGCTCCTAATCCTAAATCAGCTTATGAAAATGAAGGTTTACGTTTTCCAGAAACTAATCACTTCAAATCAGTCATTTGATTATACTTCTTTTTCGAGCTAAAAAACAACCAATACCTCCTGAATATTATGGGTCACTTTCAGTGGATTTTATTTATTTTGTATGAATTTTAAATTCCAGGTTATTTGCTGTAAAGCGATATTTATAAATTTTGTCAGCTTCCTCTAGTTACATTATCAGGTATACGTTTTCAAAACATCAGTATTCTGTTATAGAATAAATGTGGTTAAGCCATTTATATTATTTAAATTTTTGACAAAACACTGTGAGTAAATTCAGGTTTGACCTTCAAAATTTTCATGGTATTCTACCATCCAAGTATGTAGGTATTATTTTGATTAGAGCCTTCTAACACTACTTCACAATATTGGAAAACGCACGAAATTTCAATTGCTTTACACACATGAATACCATTTCTCACTGGCCTTATTTTCTTTGAAACTGCAAGTGCAAAATCCTTCGACTACAACTGCAGCACAGGGTTGCCAACTCCCATAAAAGTGCTAACCTTCATACGAATTTACACTATGACAAAAAATCTGTAGCAAAAATAGTGAGTTTAATGATGTAATTTGTAATTATATTTTTCACATTGAATAAAAGAATTGGGAGAAAATACATGAAATTTTGATTTAAAATGATTCGATCAATCTAATGGAATATTTCAAAATAACAAATTCAAACAACTCTTTTTTCTTCATACGAGTATTTGTGAACACTCCAACAACAACGACTTACAGAGACTTTTGACGTCATTAAATTTGGACATATATTTTTGAAACTAGCTGTTGCCTATTAGAATTTTTATCTTTTTCTAAAAGTGTAGTCTTGTGAAAGTATTTTGTATACCTACGCGAATTATCAAGTATTTTTCGCCCACAATATTTTTTGCATTTGTGTGCCTTATTGGAAAAGACAAAGAGACTGTTTCTAGAAATCATGTCATGAGAACAAATATCAACAATTAAATTTGAATCAAGTGCCTCTTGGAAAATGAAAATAGCACACAGATTAACCATCATGATAAAAACACTTGTCTGTATAATTTGTCTAGGTTACATCAATATTTACGTGCAAGTACTACATACTATTCAATGTTGATTCTATCGTGCAACGTGAATTCAACCGGTTGAATGATTAACAAGTTTGTTGGTTGAATAACAAAACGACATTGTTGACGTAAAACCGAATGCACTAGAGAAATCAGTACACGTACGTTCACTACATGAAATCCAATATTATCTTACAATTATTTCTTGTTCACTTTGTGAAGAAAATATTTGCTGAATCGGAGTCGGATTATCCAGGTATGATTGTATTTCATGTAAGCAGTGTCAATCTTCTGAAAGGTTTCAATTCTCAATCTATTTGTATTTTCCATTGAAGTATATATTTTTCAGACACTCTTTTTCGAAATACATATTTATTTCAGTGGGTTGATGCAAAGTACAATTTGGTTTAAGAAATTATGTCCTAAGTGAAAAAATGCTCAAAGAACATAGTGGATCTCTGCAGTTTAATTTCGTTTCACGCCTAACTGCGAATATTTTTATTGTAATAATGAAAATGATAAATAATGAATTGTTTTATTGAGCACTGAACTGTTAAATCAAAAGGAAACAATATTGCATGGGGCATTTATCAATTTGTCTTCAACAATTTATGAAATATAAAATCGACCCATCAAAACAGGTATAAATAGGTATTTAAACGGAGTGTTCCACAATTGTTGAGGAGTTTAATGAATGAGAAATACATAGTATGCTCCAATATCGGTTCCTTTATTATCGTTGTCCATTGTGGTCATCGATCACTAGTTAATCTATATTGACCAGTGAATAATCCAATCAGGAATCTTTATTGCAAGCCACCTTGAAATCGATAACAAACATCATTAGAAGTGTATTCTGACAGAGCGTTGATCCAGAAGTGTTGGATGTGCTAATAATAGTGCATTGCCATATCTCGTTTCATCAAATTCATAATGAATGGAAAGTTAATCTGTTGTATACACAATACGCATTTTCTTAACGAGGTCGTCAATAAATCTAAAATAGCGTGTACTAATAAGGCACGGGGTTATTCAAAAATTCCCTTCGATCACAGTGAATTTTCCATTCCCATGTTTCAAAAATCATGTACATTCATATTTTTCGGAGACGGAGAAATATGTTTGACCTGTGTCAACCCGACTAGGTAGACATAGGTAGTGAATTATCATTCTGGTCAATTCTTATTGGTTTGAATTGTGTGAGATATATTTCATTTTGGCTACTTACTCAACATGAAAACGGTAAAATAATTGATGCTTTTTTCAACAGTCATAGAAAAAGGTATTATTGCAATGTTCCTAGGTATATTATCACATTTTTTGTTATAAAGATTATTCAGCAGACTAATTTGTTTTCATAAAACCGTCGATCCTGAAATTTTTCTGAAATTTTATCAATCCAGAAAAAAAACAAATATTTCAGATAGGGTCAAATGTATTTTATGATTTTATTATTTCAAGCAATATTACTCTTTCCAGGCAGTATATGCGGCGGACAGTGTTGTGACGAAAAAACAGAAGTGTTATTGAGAAAGCAAGGCCAGCGGGACTTCGCAGATCTACTGCGGCATAATTCAAGGTCACTCCAGGGATTGCTCATTTCGACGGCAACGACTTTACAAAGTAAGTTCTTGTTCTATTTCATCTAATTATTGGCCACGACACTGCATTAATTATATCGTAGAGGTTGTTTTACATAAGAATAAATGACCAATTGTTTTGTTCGTTATTGGGTCTTAGCGTCTTCGATTTATAAGTATGCCTGAATTATTGGATTTTTCCTCTTGTTGGTATTCAATTGTCAAGACACTACGTTTAGATACTTTTCTAATGCAATTTTGCATTTCACAAAGAAATCGAGAAACACCGATTTTATTTTCAAGGAAGTTTATATATTTATAGCCCTTGCAGGGGTCGAACCGTGTCCGAAATTTTCGGAAAACTTCGATATTTCGGTAAAGGTCCGAAATTACCCCATATTTTTGACATCATCCTAAAATTCCGAAAATCTACTCGGCGTAAATTTTTACAATGTGCTTATTACATTTCGTAACATTACCAATAATAATTTATTAACTGGGTAATTTTTTTGAATGGCCTGGAATAAAACACCGATTTTATTTTCAAGGAAGTTTATATATTTATAGCCCTACAAAGAGTTGATGTTACGGGTGCGTATCACTAAGTCGAAAGCCACCCCTTATCCCGACTTATCCAAAATACGGAAGTTGTCGAAATTCAAATTGATCCAGTCTGAAGAGAATTCGACGTGATGAAATCTCGGCGTAGTGAGAATTCGACGTAATTTTCCTTTGAGCAAGGAGTATCACTACGTCGAAAGCCATCCCTTCCACTGACGTCAGCAAAATACGAGAGTTGTCGAAACTTTAATTAATCTTAATCTCAATTAATCTTAATAACAGAGTCCTATTGTGAGGAAATTGATGAAATGTATCAAAAATTGCGTCAGCAGTAGCCGGCACTGGTCAACAGAAGAGATCTTCGCACTTCGATAACTTTTTCACTGGTAGAACCTAATCCAATCGTGAGTAGGCAAAAACGGCTTTCGTTGACTTTATCCAATCGTGATCACACAATTTTTTTGCTGACGGATATAATCGACTTGTGCTACGTTGACAAAAGTGCACTGGTTCAAATGACGCTTATTTGGATTAAATTGAATAAGTATTCACTGAGATATTACAGTTTAAAGTAGACACAACTCTTGAAGAAACCTAATTCTTTATTTTTGTTATTTTTCGAAAGTTTTTGCGAAATAGTTATTTTGGATTATCTGTATCTCAGAATATGCAGTTAGGATAATAACCGTACACCTCGAACTTCACTGTTTAAGAAGTCTTTCATTTGGAAAATTTACTTATTTTTCATGTACTTATGAATGAAATGTACTTATTTCACATGAATATCTCAATCTCAACTCAAGTCATGTTAAATTTAATTTAGGGAGCAGAAAACTCTAACACCTATAAAATTCAATTCGATAATTTTCTCTTCTTCTCTCTGGCTTTCTTTAATTAGTCTGATTTCTTTCAACCTTTGAATTTGATGGGTAAATCGTAAGTTTGAGGCAATTAAATTCTGCACCGCTGTGAAATATGGAGAAAGTTGTCCAAAGAGTTTGAAAATTATTTGATTTATATGGTTTAGCAGAATAAACGACCATCATTCAATTAGGATAACGATTCTGATAGAAAGACGTGAAATGGAAATCGTCTTATTTTCTACTATTCAGTTAAAATCCCGAAAGGAAATTAAATAGAAAATTGGGGAAGTCAATGTTATTGAACTTTTTATCAATTGGATAACAACGAAAAATTGATAAATTTTCCGCGGAAGTCGATAAACGATGAAAACTGCCTGAATCAATCCCAAACTAAAACAAATGGTTCAGAGAATATTGTTTCAGAATATATTCACAGTATTTTCACTCGCATAAAGTTATTGTGAAGTTCAATCAAAAATGAATGTGAAAATACCAGATTTCTACTTCACAAGCAAGCCATTAAATAAATTGTTGAACGCAACAACATATTTCTCAAAACTTAGTTTATTCTGAAATTTCATTGACTGAGATAATAATAATAGACAAATTAACAAAAAATAGTTGGAGTTGGTGAAGAAAAGAGATTTTTTTCTCGAATGAAAAGAGCTGTAAATTTTTTGCCAAATTGATAGTACTTAAAGAAAGGAGAACCGATGGGCTAATTTTTGCAATTTTTTTCTTAAATTTTCCTGCTTCCGTCATCTTGGAACTGACTTCCTCTTGAATTAAAATATTTTTGAGGCTACTGGTGTTGTGGAGAGTACTTATTTGCCTTGTAAGAATCTGAAATGAAATAGTCGGAGTTCACCTATTCATTTTTGTAACCACAGTGTTTCCATATAATAGTACTATGATTCTCACATAAATAATTTTTAGTTGATGAAATAGAAAGTAAATAATCCCTTGATTGATTATGATCTTTGCCCCTAATTCACCTATAAGTCAAGAGACACGGAGTATATTACACATACTCAAGACTAATACAGTAAACTATTTTTGAATAGCAGAAACTATCTAAAAAGACGACGAACTGACTGGGGTAAGTTCTATCAGAAAAAAAAAACAGAGTTATTCTCTGGTCACGCCTAAAGAAGTTTTATTTCGAATATTTTAAAAATCAGCTGATCGGTTTCAACTATTTTGTTGCTGATTCTCCAGGTGTATTCCAAGTATTCTCCTGGTAAGCGACAAATTTAGAACATCTTCAATTCCAGGAAAAACCAGTTTCATGATAACAATAACGAGGAAAATGAAAAATAAAATTAAAAATCGGCCGATCGGTTTCAACTATTTTGTTGCTCATCTCCCAGAGGTATTTGAGTATTCTTCTAATGAGCAACAAATCAAGAATACTTTGTATTCTAGAAAAAACCGGTTTCAAGATAGCAAGAACAGAGGGAATTTAAAAAAATATTAAAAATCGGCCTATCAAGGCCAACTATTTTGTTGCTGATTTTCGGAGTGTATTTGAGAACCCTCCTGATAAGCAACAAATTTAAAACACTTTTCTTTCCCAGGAAAGCCAGTTTCAAGATAGCAAGAACGAGGAAAATGAAAAAAAATTGAAAATCGGCCGATCGGTTTCAACTACTCTGTTGCTGACACCCAAGGTGTATTTAAGTTTACTCTTGGTTAGCAACAAATATCAAAGGTGATACATATAGTATTATAGTTTTTACCTTTTGTGAGAAGCTTCCTCCTCCTTCTCAATTCAGAAATTTGTACAGATGTCAGAAGGTCAAAAGTAGATATAAGGTATTTTGTCTTTTACTGGAATGAAAATTATGGCTTTCTCGTTTTTATAGTCTCAACGAAAATAGCAAATCTTTTTAAAAAAATGAGAACTTGTCAAATACTCGTCAATCAAAGCTTTCGTAAGTAGCATAACTTCAGAAAAATCCCTGTATCAGAAATTATAACAAATATAGTTCAATGAAAATAGTAAAAAAAGAGTGTGTGTGTGTGTGTGTGTTTGTTTTCATATCTCTTTGGGGATATGTGTATGAATTTTTTCGAAGCTCAGGGGACTTACACAACACATACCGACTACAGGGGACATACCTTCATCCCCATAACGAAAATGTTGTATATTTCTTTCATATTTCAACTTATTGTATCATTGTTCAGTCAAAATTATTCATTCATCATCACGCTATCATTTTTCTTAGTAGTTACTATCACAGTCAATTAACTCATGATATTTTTGTCAAAAATGTTTTGTCCCCACAGCGGTAAAAAAAGGTCTGGTGTGTAGAAATAACAATAATCTAAGTATTGTGAGGTCACGATTATTCGTCGTGTAGTGGTGCCCTCTAAAATCAAAACCATTTTTGCCCTTTTTTTTATATACTGAAGAATATGGGTGCGAATTTTTTCAGATTTGTGGGAATATTTCACCTATTCCACCATATTCTTATAAAACTTTCGAATGAAATATATTTGAATGAATAAATCGTATATATTACAATGAAATTAAAATTGAAATTTTTCTTGAAAAAATATAAACGCCAGGACTAATGAGGTGTTGGTGCCCTTGTTATTTTGTTAAGTTTCATTATGCAGTTTTTTCATGTAATATTTCATATCCGTCCATCTTCTTTGGTTTAGCACTTCCCCAGAACTTCGTATGCACTCTTCACACATAACCTTTCCAGGAACAATTTTCTTATTCATTGCAACATGGATAACTGCTATTTTTTTGGTTTGTGTCATTTTTGTTTCATTTGGTTGTCGTAATGGTCCAATGAAAAGAAAATATTCCTCTTCATCTGAAAATTTTGTAAAGTTACAGTTCTAGACGATGACTGAGTTTGAATTCATACCTGGCTTGTCTTTTTCATCTCATTCATCCGAACTTTCTGTAATATCGGGTAAATCTGAAAATAAGTCAAAAAAAATGCTTAATTTCAATGGATGTTTCAAAACACACCGAGTGTAAACCAACGACAAAAGGTATATTTATGTGTGTCTATAACTGTGTGTGTGTAACTGTGTTCACATATCGTACAGTTGCCAATTCTCATGCAAACATATGTAGGTGTCTTTACTTTTACTCTGTTGCTAACTTTTTTTTGAAAAACTAAAATGTTGACTAGCTACCTTCAGAGATTTCCTCTTCGATCGCCATAGGGAAAGGTTGTGCCGATAAGGACCGTCCTCAAAGATAGCACGTGGATGTCGCGATCGGAGCCGATAAGATCCAACCTCTACCAAATATTTACTTTTCTCGTACCAAACCTGACTGTATATAAGTTTGAACTTTCTTGAAGTCTTTCAAAATCTTCCGAAATAAGGGCAAACTCATTTCCAGAATGTTGCTCATTTTTCTTGTTGCTTCATCTCGCGATACGTACAGCTACAATAAAAGTCATCGTGAGGTAGAAGTGAGAGCAAAACACATTTTATAGCATTATTTCTGGATAATTTATCGCGCAGTTACTTACATCCGCCTTCCCATCACCATCTATGCGACCATGGAAGCGTATGCGGTTATGGAGCGTACGAAAAGGTAGAGAGGCAACTGGCAGAATCAGACGAATCATTGTTAATGGTTATTCTGGTGATATAGGAACCATTCTCCGGTGGATTACACCGCTATCTAGAAACCTGATAACATAAAAATTCTTTGGATATATCTACACCTTCAATGAGTTAACCTTTTATGGTAACCAATAAGAACGACAGTTGAAAATCACAAGCATTTATACTTTTCATGCAATCCTGTGTTGAAATTGAAATAACTTAATGATATAGAAATTCCTTGGTACTTATCTACATTTTCAATTAGTTGTGAATACCTTAAGATCTTGGTATCGTGAATGATATATAGTTTCAAATATGCATCTTACAGTTATTACAGTGCACACATATTAAAGAATATAAAGCATGACGATTCACTTCATTACATTAGTTTCATTACTGGCATTATTAATATTGTCAATAACTTGCCATGTTACTAATGTTGTGTCTAATACGTTTATTCTTGAATAAATTGATGAATACGTATCGATATCCATGATAATAATTGAACAATTTCTACAGATATTTTTGAATTCTAGACGTTTGTGTTTGTGAAAATTATTATCATGGATACTGTTATCAATTTTCAAGTAACAGGTCATTTCATAATAACTAATCAGATTATTCAAGATGGAGTGATAGAAAGCCAAAAACTTTATTTTCCAAGGATTATTGAAATTTAACAAGTTTTTTCAATAACTCAAATTATAACTGAATATATATCGCACTTATTCACTCTCGCTTCTTTGCTTTCGAATTAATCCACAGAGAACTCCTGTCTTTTCGCTTCGAATTGTTTAGAAGTAATTTCATAACCTACACTTTGTTTGTGAAGATCAAATCGTAAGGTGTAGTTTATGAAATTACTGTAGATCTTCATCAAATAACGGCCGAATCAATCAGAAAATGTTTAGAAGCATTTTGATGCTTTCGCATAGCGCTGAAGGTTAAAACAGTTAAAATTCGCAGGGATAATGAGTCTTCATGCAACAAAAGAAATCAATTTTTCAAAAACCAGATTTCAGAAGAAGAAAATAAAACTATGATGATCATATCCTTAAGGATGATTTTCTGACACGTTCATGGACAAAACACTCTTGAAGTTGTTTGAAAAAATGAATATATTCAATTGTTTATGCTATGAATCTCATCATCTGTGGAAAAGCTTCTGAAAGTTGAACAAGAGTTCTATCCTTTGAGGATAATAGAGACTAGAATTGCATTTGTGGTTTATCCTACAACCACTGAATGAGACCTGAAGCTGCTCGAAACAGCGCTGTCTGATGTTGAATTATAAATGCGTTGTGTTTGGGTTCTGATTTACAACTAGTTGCCTTGTAAGGGAAGCTGCAGTGAAAGACAGAGGACTGATCTCGTCAGCGGTCGATGTAGAAGCTTGATTTTACAAGTTACCACCTCAACAAGCCTTGTTTATCTTTGATATTCAAGGATTGAGTTCTTTGTCAATCCCATTGATAGAGTCTTCGTAAGCACCACTGATGAGACCTGTGACTAGTCGATACAGCGCTGTCTGGTGTTGAATCATAAATGCATTATTATTGGCTCTAGTTTTCAATTGGTTGCTTTATAGTGGGTGCTACAGTAAAAGACTGAGCACGAATGTTGCCAGCGGTCGATATCGAAGCTGGTCTTTGCAACTAATTTATTTTTGATATTCGAGGATTGAATTGTCTGTGGATCCCATAAATGGCGTCTTCGTAGGGGGAGGTGTCATCTCTCTTACTTGGGTAATCATTACTATTCATTTATCAGAAAACGAATAGATTGAGTGATGACTCAATTATTCTTCAATTACACAGAATATCGAAATAATATCTTCCTTCCAGAAAATATTATGAAAGGCTGGAAAGATACGCCAGTTTTATTTTCTATGAGGTTGTTTGGAAAAAACTGTTTCATGTTTCAATATATGTTATACTGAAAATCTTAAATGGGGGTAGTATCAAATGATATTGTAATATATAATTTTTGGAATAGCAGTAATTGATATTCACCTGCACCCTAAGTAGGGTATTCAGATTATTATTCACACAAAAATCAATGTAGTGTCCGACTGAAAGTTCGGTTACGGTCGAGTTTCGGCAAAAAACAGGTTTTGGTTTAGTTTAGGTTTCGGCGGCAAACCTTCCGAAACTACGACCGAAACCGAAATTGCATTCGGGAGTTTTCGCGCTGTGATCGGTCATGTTCGGCGCGTTGAATTTCATACAAGCGACGAAGACATTTTGCAGCGTCCACGTACCTAATCGTATCTTGACTTACTTTGCGATTTACTTTGTTTATTACATAAAAATTAAGTACCTATTGTGATATTAGGTAACAACTTAAATAAGTAATTTTATTGGGAAAGAAAGTTTTTGGCTTTCTACTACTCCATCTTGATACAAAAAAGATGAGAAAAATGAGAGATGAGTCTTCCAAAGAAAGGAAGGAAGTAATCAATTTGAAAGAAAGTCCTCCTGAAACAGCTACTTTCATATAAACATTGAATTACACGAAAGAAAGAAATTATTTCGAAACAAATACTTCTATATGAACACTGAATTATACAGAAGATACTTTTCTTTACTCAGTTTCTATTTCAAACATTCGTTGCGGAATAAAATCAGATATCATTCACATGAGTTCTACTTTAAATGAATGATAACATGGTAACATGGTACTCTTCAGTACTGAAGAGCCTCAGGGCAAGTGTCTTACGGCGAAACATCGATGTATACCAGTGAGGATGACAGTGTTCCATGTAAGTGCAATTTGTTACCATTCATTTAAAGTAGAACTCATGTGAATGATATCTGATTTTATTCCACAACGAATGTTTGAAATAAAAACTGAGTAAAGAAAAGTATCTTCTGTATAATTCAGTGTTCATATAGAAGTATTTGTTTCGAAAGAATTTCTTTCTTTTGAGTAATTCAATGTTTATATGAAAGTAGCGGTTTCAGGAGGACTTTTTTTCAGTTTGTGTCTGAAAGTTTTAGTTTCAGTTGTCAAGAAGAGTACTTCGACCACGCCACTGAAGTTTACTGCCGCAGTTGCTGTTGAAACGTTTGGAGATACTAATTAAAGAAGGTCACGGCAAAACTTGTTAACCAACCAAAACAGTAGTAGAAAGTTTATATATTCCCTCTCAAAATTTCTCATTTCATTTTAACAATGAATTATCTCCCTTCAATTCTTCAATCTGTTTTACCAACCAAACACAAGAAGAGAAAGCTTTCCATACCCAGGTGATACGATTTATAGCATATGTGGTAAATAATGGCCCACACAGTCTGTTCCCTCTTAGCTCAGTTGGAAATTTGTGAAATTGGAAATTATACTCACAGATTGAGATTTGGTTGTTGATACTTTTCCTTGGCTTGTCGATCCAACTGTGTTCACTCGGTAAACTTGGTTGGGAAGGAAAGTTGTGATAAGGAAATATGAGCAATTCCACAAGGACCAGCTAGCCGAACCTAACACCGTTGTCGAACTTTTGTAATAACTCATAAAAAATAAAGAAAACCGCCCAAAAATGTACATCCGATGTGTATTGATGATAACATAATCTATTATTGAATTCTTTTTCCACTCTCTGGTCAGCCGAAGAATACAATGTTGCCGAACTGTCCTCAACCTAAAATAAAAGAAAGGCGAGAACATACCCCCGACCCTGAAAAAACGTTTGTTTTTCAGTGAATTTGTAAAGAAAGAAAAAAAAAACACAAAATAACACTCATGTGCTTGAATAACCATAAATAATACATTATAGATACCATTCAGATCTACACTCTAGATCAAACCAATTTCCAGACCATCTGAAGAAAAAAAAATTCTTATTAATTTCCCATTGAATGAACAGCTTTTTTACTGTGAGGGCAGTGAACACAACTTCACCACCGGTCGCGTAAAAATGCCTTTGCTCGTTTTTAAAGGTACGTTACGCACAACCCCGTCGTTACCCGGGTGAACCGCTATAACTACGGCTAACGGCTAATGCAATGGAGGCGCGTTGTCGGTTTTCAAAATTACAACAGTACCTACCGCGATATCAGGGGGTTGATTATTCCATTTTTTACGAATTTGTAAAACTACCTAAATATTCCAATCAACAACGGTTCCAAAAGTCTTGAAGCATTCGATCAACTAGTTGAAATCTGTCTAACCGGTTGATAGGAATATTATCGACTTTTTCAGAACGAAAGCCGCGTAGAGGAGCCAATGTCAAAAAATGTGCGGGAGTTGAAGCGTTGAAGCAGTTGGATCCGCTGGTAACTGGCTCAAAGGCCGTGAATTCAAAAGTGCTTCAATTTCCGTCAACAATGTTGAAAATTTTGCGTAGGTTAGTAATTGGTCTCCGATGACCCGGTATATGTGATTTGCAACGGCCTTGACATTGCTTTCCCATAAACCTCCTTGTTCGGGTGCGGAAGGGCTATTGAAATGCCACTCAATTCCGTGAACACCAAGCTCCGTTTCGAACGCACTAATATATTCTGGAGAATTAACAAAGTTATTGATATCGGCAAGAACCGATTTAGCGCCGACAAAATTGGTACCTGTATTCGAATACAGAGCACGAACAGGGCCTCTTCGAAATAATTTTTTTTTAAATCCCTGTAAAAAATGATCGGCGGACAAAGAGCTAACCAGCTCCAAATGTATTGCCTTGACAGACATACAAATGAACAGACTCACATAACCCTTACATATTAAAGCATTTTTCCGCTTACCGAAAGAAATTTTAACCGGCCCAAAATAGTCCATCCCAGTGTTAGTGAAAGCTTTGGCTTCTTGTACCCGTACTGACGGTAAACTAGCCATCCGTGACTCTAAAATTTTGGGTTTCAACCTAAAACAACGATTACACTTATGAATACGACATCTGATCAAATTTCTTCCGCCATAAATCCAATATTTTTGGCGTAATATGGCTTCTAATGAATAGGCACCCGTATGTAAATATATTCCACCAGTCTTTCTGTAAAAACATCTTCAGCCGGAAATATATAAGGATGTCTTTTAGAGAATCCCAATTGGAATTTCCAATTCGACCCCCGACCCTAAGCAATTCATCTTGCACAAAAGGGTCTAGGTAGTAGATTATAGCCGTTTCTGGGCCTACCCCCACCACTATGACATATTAATTGCTTTTTTATTTGTTTAGAAACACGGTACAGGGTTTATCATGTGCGTGTCTGTGTACAAACATACGTCTGCATACTTCAAAGATCCTCCAAGTAATGAATGTTCCATCGGTGTAAGCCCACCAAGTTAGTAGTGGTGTGACGTCACAGCAGCAACCGTTCAATTGACCTTGAAGGACGTCCTTAAGTTATGTTCATGAAACATGACCTTGAATATGGAATTCAACTTTGAGATTAGGGAACTAGATTGCATACATGGTAAAGTCAGGGTTTGATATTGTCCTTTATGTGTACTCTGTACCAGTTTGTACAGAATAAACACACGTCTGCATACCACGAAGATTCACCGACTGATGAGCAGTCCTTCTTCACCAGTTTGGACTGTACCCATCGTGACAAAGAGTGTACACGTCTGCACTCCGTGAAGTTTCAACGACCACTGCTTGCTCGTATCGCCTTCAATCAGCGCATCGAGTTGGAATTGGTGGTGGGGATCACCTGTGGTCGACGCATCGAGTTGGCTTCGACCTTCAACGACCTTGATCTACCTCACTCCCTTGATGCACGTTACATGGCGATTACATGGTGAATGACCTTCATTCACACTATATTTTCACCATCTTCATTGATTGACTCGGCTATTTCGAAGACATTTTTACCTTTGAAATGACTTCTACATACGTCACACGATGTCAACAAGGTGACTTTGAAGAAGTGTTTTGAGTTCGACTTTGAACGACCTTCATCTACGTCATACCCTTGAACTACGTCACAAGGTAACGTGGACAAGGCGACTTTGAGGGAGTATTTTTGTTTCAACCTTGAATGGCCTTCATTCACTCTCTATATTTTCATGAACTTCATTGATTCACATGCCTATTTCGAAGACACTTTCAATTTTGAAATGACATCTACATACGTCACACGATGTCGACAAGGTGACTTTGAAGAAGCCTTTTGAGTTCAACCTTGAACGACCTTCACCTACGTCATACCCTTGAACTACGTCACAAGGTAACGCAGACAAGGCGACTTTGAGGTAGTGTTTTGGGTTTCTTTTGGGTATCTATCGTGACAGAGAGTGCACACGTCTACACTCCCTGAAGTTCCAACGACCACTGCTTGCTCGTATCGCCACCTGTCAACGCATCGAGTTGTGGTGGTGGGGGGTCGCAAGACAATTTTAACATTGAAATGACTTCTACATACGTCACACGATGTCGACAAGTTGACTTTGAAGAAGTCTTGTGAGTTCGACCTTGAACGATATTTACCTGCGTCACACCCTAGAACTACGTCAGAAGGTGACTTTGAGGTAGCGTTTTGGGTTAAAACTTGAATGACCTTCATTTCGTAGAATCGAAATTTTTCGAGAAAGGGTGGGAGTGAAATCTTATCATTGAGTATCACGCTTATTTTTGATTTCTCATGAAAGATAGTAATGACAAAAGTTGTATAAAATTAAATTTTGGCTTCTATCATTTTTTTCGTACATCGATGTTTTTCGAGAAAGGTAGGGGTGAAATCTTATCATTGTATTATCACGTTCATTTTCAATTCCACGAGAAAATTTTTGATGAACACAGTTGTATAAAATTGGATTTCCTAGAATTTTGACCAGCATCAATTTTTCCGTAGGATCGATATTTTTCTATTTAAACCTGAAATAAGTAGGGGGTGAAATCTTATAATGGAATTATCCCATTCATTTTCAATTTCACAAGAAAAATTACTACGATCAAATTTGTATGAAATTAAATTTTCTATAATTTTGGCCTCCGTAAAGTTTTTCATAAAATAGATATTTCTCGATTTGAATCCGAGAAAAGTAGGGGTGAAATAGAATTATCACATATATTTTTAATTTCACGAGAAAAATTGTCATGAATGAAGATGAATACAATTGAATTCCATACAATTCTGGTGAAGTTTTGAATCTACCCAAAGTACTCGAAGTGACTTTGAGTGTTTTGGGTTTGTCATTGAATGACCCTCATACAAACGATAGTCGAATCTCTAAGTTATTTCGATTAAAGTTATGCTAGGATGATCTTTTTTTTAAATATGATGTGAAAAGATACATAATAAATGAATCATCTTCATTTATATTGTCAATACCTAAAGCTTTTTTTTTCTTACATAACTAATTCATTATAACATTAGAAACAACAGTACAAAAATAACATTTCAAAACGCTCAAAGGTGCGAACTTGTTTCCTCCTTTTCATAAAAGAGGATGTATGCATCTCCACTCACAAGCGATTTTGGTGAAATTGGTGACACTTGTAAATCACTTGGCACTTCGTGCCAAGTGCCAGTATAAGGGTGTCTGCAGAATGCTGTATAATTTCCGCTATAGGTAGATTCAGTGTAATTCTAAAGTGCATATAGGTTATAACGACAAGGAGTCACATTTTCTGCTGCATAATTGTTCATGTCTAATCCATCTAGAGCAGGGGTCTCCAAACTTTGAAGCCTTCGGGCCATAATGATTTTTTCAGTTTGTTCCAAGGGCCAATTTCTGCCCTTAACTATATTTCTAGACTAGGATAGTCGCAGAGTGCGTGACCTAAGCAAACTTACGCTTTTTTTGCATTTCAATTATTATTGTGTATTGTGACACTTAGCGACATCTAGTGGCGAGTAGTGGTACTATGTACTCTCTTTTTCAGCTACCCGCTAGGTGGCATTAGGCGTAATTAAATAATTGGAATTACCGCATTGGTTCGAGAAAGTTCTGGTTCTAGCTAGTGTATTCCGATCACTTCGAGATGGGAGTAATAATTGCATATAAAAAGGCTAGCGGCGCAACTGCGAGTTAGTCTGCGTAGGAGAGGCGAAGGAAGCGAAACTGTCTATTGTGAAATAAAGTAACACCCCCAATAAAAGTATTTTGATTCGACTTATTGTTTTTATGTGTGATTTGTTAGTATGCAAAAGAAGCGAAAAATCGACAGTGAATGCAGAACGTTCCAAGAAAAATGTAACATTCAGTATTTTGTGATTGAGTCCAGTAATAAGGAGCTATGTTTGATTTGTAATGAAACCATAGCTGTTCTCAAAGACTATAACATTAAACGACACTATGAATCGAAACATCTTCAAAGTTACTCCAAGTATAAAGGAAGTTTGCGGAAGGAAAATTTGAAGCTTTGAAACGCGGCGCAGTAATCTACAAACAATTCTTCGAGATTTTGCCAGTATGATTACAATTGGGAATAAAGTAGGAGCTGTCAATAATGAGAGCCTGAAAATGCGGTTAGAGAAAGACATTATTGTCAACCGTACTCCCTATCGCCTGGCTACAAGTGAAAGGGAGGCAGTTCGAGAAATAACAGAAGATTTGATGATGAATAACAATA